GATGGCATTTCGACCCGGTTTTCAGTCTGACCTTCTGTGTTGAACACTTTCAGTAACTCTTTTGTGCGACCATCCCTGCAAAGATAATTTGACCCCTTCAGAAAATCACAGCAAAGAAGACAGAAGCATCATCAATTTTTGGACCTTATGTATCTATCAATACTCACCATAAGGAGAGGGTTTGAAGCTGAGAAGCCCATACTTTAGATCTTACATTATCAGCTAACAAACATTTGACTTCAGAGGAAGATATACTGCAGGAACCATTAACAGTAACTTGAGTCCTGAGATCAATCCCAGACCTCTCAACCAACAAAGCAGCCATATGTTTCTCCTCCAACCTAAGCGAAAGAGATTTCTCCATAGATTCCCATGTCCATATCCTTATCACACCACCTTCTGAACACGACCACAAATCACCTGCAATTTTTTTTCCAATTCACAAGCTATAGATTTCAGATTAAATTCATCACAAGAACAACAAGATTCCAAACTGTTTTCTGAGAGAGAAATTACCATAAGAACTCATGATTATCGAATTCACAGGACCCTTATGAGCTTGCCAAGCAAGACCTTCCTTGAAAGGAGTATCATCCTCATCATTATCAGCCACAAAATCCATCTTCCAAGACCTAATCTTACCATCTTTATGACCACTCCAAACAAGCCTATTCCCATTATCAACCATCAAACAAGTGGTAGGCGAAGTACTAGCCGACTCATGAAACGGTGCAGCGTCTTCGTCTCCTCTCCTTACACGGTCGCTTAAACCACACCCTGGCTCAAACGCATCATCAAAATTCCAGAATCTAACACCACTCTCTTGACCAGCCCACAATTGCGTTCCTGTACAAGCTATATTCCTTAAAAATCTCCCAACCTGAGTCTCCCTTAACGGATGTGGTCTTAGCTCTAAACAAGGAGGACGAGCCGAATGCAATGGAGATCTCGTCGGGACTTTGAACATACCAACACCGCCTCCAGATCCGACGAATTCCGGAAGCGGTTGAAAATCCTCACCGATCTCAGGCTGATGCGTGATTAAGTAATCGTCGGAATCACCTGTATCTCCGGCGTAAGGAAACGACGAGGAATTAGTGGTGGTAGCGTAAGGGTAAAACTCTTCATCGGAAGAATCGCCGGGGATATTGCAACCGGAGATGATTTCGGTGATTTTAGGGATATCGTCGAGGCTATGTTGACGTTGGCGATGGTGATGGGGTTTTTGACCGGAGTTACGTAGTTGGTGGCTGTATGAATGGATTTTACGAGGTGGAGGAATAACGCTCATGGAGGAAAGAGCATCTTCGTCGCCGTCGTCGTCGGAGAGATGATGACGGTGGTTGTTGTTGATTTCCATGGCGGAAGATTAGGGAAGGAATGAGAAATTG